ATGTTTCAGGGTGTAACACCTATGAGGTGTTTCACTTCTCCTGACTTCTGTATTTTTGCACCATTTCCAAACATATGTCCTGACACCATCATATCCACACAGGAATGTTACCACTGCTGACGTAACACTAATAACAGGTTGTTGGATGGATCTGACTTTCTCTACTGTGACATGCAAAAACCTGCCTCCATAAGATGAAAGCACCATCTCCCATCAAAGAAACACAAAAGCTTTAGGCTTATTTCACAGTCTAAGAACCTCAAAGTTCTAAATTCAACTACACGCTATGCTGCAGTTCATTTGGTTTGGATTTCTGAATGAAATCTGACTGTGATTCACTCATTGTCTTAATCTTATTCCAACAGGATATGAATCCAGCAAAACTTCCAGTTATGAGCCAAGCACAGCGTTCCTGAGGCGACCATCTGCTGCAGTCAGCCTGGCATCTATCAGCTAATTCCCTTATTGCTATTTTAACATTACTTAATAAAAATAAGCTGTTTAATGCAGCATCTCATTTTTTCTGATGAATAACAGAATTGAAGTAAAAATCAAAAAATGTGCTAAAACTAAGTCAGTATTTTCCTGAAAGCTTAAGATGTTATCCTAAGATTAAAATGGCTTCTAACAATTAGACTAGAAATTATTTGCAGCCAACATTTAAAAATGTATTCCCGGTTTTATGAACTGTCGGAAAGAGAGGTTGTGGCATGAAAGGCTTAAATTGGGAGAAGAGAAGTAGTGCTGATTTTAGGGCATCTAGGAGCAGCATCTGATCCTATTTGGCTGGAAATGTGCTGAGTGGCTGACTGGCTGGGGAAGATAAGATTGCAAAACAGTATAGTATCAGCAGCATCCATGCCTTGTTGGGAATGATCCAAGAGATGTTGTTTTCCTCTTTTAAAGAAGTTCAAGTAACCCTGGAATACTGTAAAACATCGGACTTATATCATAATAATAATTCTGAGAAGTGCAATATTACAAGTTATATAATTTCCCTTCATTTGTTCAGTCATTTATCAGATCAGGTGTCTTTCTTAAGTCTTTTACACTTTTCAAAAAAAAAAAAACGCTGAATGTTGAAAACTATAAATCATATATCAGTCTTATGTTTACATTTGATCACCATGTTTACATTTTATCACTGCTGCTTTTTTAGAAATGGAAGTGTTTTGAGAGCTTTCCTGAATTAAATTTTGCACTGCAAAAACGATCTAGAAATAAGTAAAAATTTCTAAAATTAAGTGTATTTACCCTTAATATGAGTAGGTAAATGAGTAAATGAGAGTGGAATGAGTAATTTTACTCTTAAAATAAGATAATTAGACAATATGCACTTTCTTATTTTCTTGAAATAAGAAAATGCAATTGGGTTTTCTTATTTGTAGTGTAAATTGTCTTGTTCCATTGGCAAGATGTCTCTTTTACCTCATCGTTCAAGAACAAATGCACTTATTTTAAGAAAAAAATGACTTATCTAGATTTAGATTTTTTGCAGTGTGTTTTGTATAAACTCTGTGAGGATGAGTGAAAAGCCTTATGATAGAAGAACACTCAAACCAAAATGATTTATAAAATACCCCCTTTTTAGTGTAGTACATTTATTTGTTGGGGGAAAAAGATTCTTCAATAAGACTTCCCAAATTTGGAGCCCACATGGAGAAGTATCTTTGGTCATTCCTCTCTACTGTCGAGAGATTTTGCAAAGAAGTGACTAGAGCCCTGGTTCCTCCTTAAATACCCTCTTTTTCTCAGCTCAATCTTCATACTGGATTTTGTTCCATAGACCAGACACCCATTAGCGTTGATATGTTACATGTTTTTGCTCCGTATCCCACAGGGAGTCCCAATTTAGACAATTCTTTGGCTTTCGGACAGTGTCCAACATATTTATGCTTGAAATCTTGGTAATGCTTTACAATAAAGTACATAAATTGTAGTTAACTATTAGGGTAGGCTTTCAGAATTAATCATGTATGGATGGGTAGTTAACTAATACTTGCTAGGTAACCCACAGCCCAGCCTTATTAGAGGAATACTGGTTAATACCTGGGGGAGGAAGGGAACTAGTCAGGAATTAGGGATAGTTAGCAAGGAATGTGGAATAGAGAATACAATTAAATCAGTGATCAATGGTAAGTATTTTTTTTTATATATATTTCTCCCTTTGACCTGACAGGTACAATGTGTCACAATTTGTATGGAGGTTGGTTGAGGACCAGGAGGCAAAGGTGAACCTTGTTGATTTAATGAAAAACAGAGGCAGACCACTAAAAATCTAAAATACTAAGAACCAAACAAAAAAACAGAAAGCATTAGGGAAAACTGACATGGGAAGCCAGAGATGAGGGAACAACAAAACAACAAGAAGGAACCAGCAGAGAATGACTGCAGAGGTGGAGTATATAAGGGCAACAGAACAAAGGATGGTCTAATGAGCTGAATAAGGAGCAGGTGTGAGTGGAACCAACTAGAAGGAAGCCAAGAGGAAAGGAAACAATCACAAAGGGCAACAGAGAGTAACTAAAGACTACCTGAATATAATGGAAAATTAATCAACGATCAACAAAACAGAATAACTAATAACTAAAAACTCAGAGTCCCAAAAGGGGAGAACCATGACATACTGTAGGGCTAGAACTGATATGGATAATTCCTCCTCTGTTTCTGTGGTAACAACACCCTTTTAAGGCTGTGTGATTCCCAATAGGTACTGGTTAACTACCCATTAGCTCGTTATTAGCTCCTTGTTGGTTGCTTTGGTAACTAACACTGGCGGTTCTAGACCAAATGTACCAGGAGGTGGGGGGTACAGGGTGGGGACACTGTTTTATCATGGTTTCACAATATGAGAAGAATGAAATGAACAGTAGACAATCATTTAATATTTTAAGTGAGTTAAAAAGCTACTGAAACTGCAAATTTCAGAGCCCTGATCTGGCAAATGGGATCTATGATCATAAGTCAATATGACTGAAGATAAAAGTGCAGTACGCACATTTAAAATTATTATAAAGGTTAAAAAAAATAAAAGAGAACCCAAAGGACCAATTATTTCTGTGCCAACACATATAAAAATCTGAAAATAGTTCAATATTACAGTACATCTTTACAGGGGCTACCCCCCAAATAGCAGATGTCATTTAGACATTGTCTTTCTTTTTTGGCTAAATGTGGTCGGTCCACCATTGTCTGGGTTTAGTCTAGAAATAGTTGTTGAGAACTTGTCTGTATTTGGTCGGTCTACTTTTGACCCACTTTAGTCCAATAATAGATGTTGCAAACTGGGTTGGAACATCTTCTCAACATTTATGGCGTTTCAACAATTATGGCGTTTCAACCATATGTAGACGTATGAACATAAGTCATATTGCCTTTTCAATGTTTTTTCAAGCAATTTTTTCTCGGCAGGCAGGATTAGTTTAACAGGGACCTGCCCACAACTGCCCCTGCTAGTTAGCAAATACCTTATTAGTTCTCTGTTTATAGATGGTTATTTTAAAAAGATGCTTTTAATCTCATCTTAAACCTCATTGGAACATCCAAGAGTTGCTATGGAGACTGTTTTACCCGTGTGTCTCTCTCTGCCCCTATTGGCCTCTGTGTTATGCAATGTTATGTTTATGCCCCAAGGAAAATAGAAAGTTTGAGATCACAAACTCAAATCAATATCAAGTATTAAAATTAAACTATTAAAAAAAATGCTGCAATGGATTTATTTTACCAGAAATGTGTCAAAGTGTCAAGTATTTTGCCATTGTAAGCAATTATTTCTTAACAGGATATTCATCTTAACCGGAAAAAAAAAAAAAATTAAATTAAATGGTAATTTTCACACAGTAGGAAAATATTAGCTATCTTAATGTCTTTAAATATCTTTACCAGGTGTTATATTTATAATCTTAGGAGGCTGTGGTTTAAAATCCTATTAGCCTGCTGTGTTGTTGGATTTCAAACTTTTCCACCTTATTGTCAGAAAAAAGGAAAGGAAAAATTTTAATAAATGAATCATAAGAGGAATTAATGAATGTTTAATTGATTTATTAAGGTGGAAGATGACGTTCCTTATAGTTTCAATGGGATATGAATTGAGTTTTAAAAAAAGTTTAAAGATCTATAAACTGGTAGAATTCATGAAAACAATGTAGAGCAGGAACTGATCTATATGATAAACCTTTAATGAGACCCTTAACATCACTTCACGTTATTTTTAAGAACTTTGCAGATTTTAAACCTACTTTTTTTCCTCCTCTCCTCACATGCGCTCGGAGCAGACTTCTAGGGGCGCATTACAGACCTAATGGGTGGACCCTGAGGAGAATTTCCAGCCCCGTGATTTGTTAATCTGTGGCTGGTTGACTTGTCAGTCCCCTGTAATCTGTGCACTGGTTTGTGGAGCTTGTCCAACCCTCCTGTCCTGGGACGCACGAAGAGCGCACTTGTTTGCGTTTTTTGTTAAAGCCCTAATACCTTCACTGTGAAGGCTGGGCGCTGGGAAAGAGGATCTGGCCCTCTTTGTGGCGGAGAGAAGAGGCTGAAATCCCCCCCTCACATATGGCTCTTCGTTAGGACAGTTATTTATTCTGGATCGTGGAAGGAGCGGCAAGTAAATAAGAAGTCACCTGAAGTCTCATTCACTTTGTGGGACCAAAAATGGAGATGCAAAGGTGGTCCACAAGGTGGAAGACGAAAAGTCTGTTTATGGATTCCACTATAACTGCATTCATCACTTTAACACTGCTTCTGCAGGCTGCTAATGTCAGAGCAGGTAAGAACAAGTAAAGCAAACATTGATGAATGTGCGGCTGAGAAGCGTCGGTGGGATAGAAACAGCGCAGTGTTTGCATCCGAGTAGAAAAAAGTTGTGAAACTTTTATTAAGCCACATAAAATGCAGTGAAAAGTGCGCTGAAGTTTACACTGTGTCCATCCTTATTGTAAATACAGCGAAACACCCTCCTGCTGGAGACATCCAGCGCGTTTTGGTGTAATGTCTCAGTGTCCAGATCGCGTATTTACGCATGAATGGAAGCGTCTGCCAAGAGGATGAAACACTTCGCTCTGTTAAATTGATCCTAAGCCGTTGGTATGTGCTTAGAAAGAGCAGGGAGCAGATTGCCTTGCTTTTCTTTTTTTTTTTTTTCATTTTTTTTTGGTAAAGACTCGTTTCAGCTCAATGACACCTCTTTGTTAGAGTGGTGGTCCTCTGGGTGGAGATGTACACGGTTAGCAGGGTGGATTTCCACAAGGAATTTGTTAAAAACTTGACTTTGATGACATCTTCCAAATGTTTTAACCCAGATTATATGCAATATAGAACTCCAATGTATTTTTGGTAGGCCATAATATCTACTAGATGCCATGCATTAAAACATTCGCTTCTAAATTGGATGTTTGGTTCATATGAACACACTTAGACAGATTAGGTTAGAGTCAAATTTTATTATTAATCTAATAGATTAGATTAGCCTTTCATTGTCTTTTATGCTCACACCCTTTATAGGTCTTAGTGCTCAAGATGCTAAAGCTCAGGGAGAGTGGTAGGGTCATCTTGATGATGGAAAAAAAAAGAAAAGACCAAGATAAAATTTGGGAATAGAGTTTGCAAGGTTTAACAATATTAGTAATTCTACATTTTCTGCAGCCCTATAATAATGTTCTTAATTTATCTCTGTCGGTAATTACAAGTTTGGATCGCTTTATTGTTGGTATTTAAACATCTCTCCATAATAGACTTCAGTGGGTGTTATCATATGAGCTAAAGTGGATATAGGCCAGGCAGGATAGGTGATTAATTGAAGGTTATGATACAACCAGCCATTTTTATTGGTTCAAATGGCAATCCTTTGTGGCATGGCATTAGGAAGACTCCTAACTTCTGGATTAAAGTGCATCTTATTTGTCAGACGGATGAATGCGGTCATATGGATAAACCCTATCTCCATGCTGTCCTGGTCCTCACCAAAGCCCAGCCACTGGTCTCTGCCCCAACACCTCTACCCCCCCTCCTTTCCGACTTCTAACTTTGCACTTAGATGTTTGGTAGGCTGCAAGACAAAGCTGGGTTGTGTGATTGGTGGGAATGCTTCCCCTCTAAGTACTGAGCACTTATTTGATGATGGTCCTTGTCACACTTCCCTATGATTTCAGAGCCTTCAAAGAGCAGGCCTGCATGTGGAGCTGGCCCACAGTCATAATAGCCACTATAGTCACATGGCTAGAGGATTATTTAAGCCTCACACATTGGACCAAAGATACCTATGAGGTTTAATTTAATACCAGCAACATATAAGATAAAACTATACTTTAAATGATTTAAAGAGAGGTTGCAACATTAATTAAGGTCTTGAGTTTCACTTCACATTGTATAACTGGGTTAAATAGGGAATGACATCCCATTTATGAACCCATTTATGAACCCTTGCTTGTCTTCCACTTATAATGCATCCTGCTGGATGATTGCTAGAATTGCACAGCAGGTTGGAAGTCTCACCTTTCCTTTAACTCTTCAGGTCCAGCCTCTTAGCATAAGTTTCAAGTATTCTGCCGCAGGGCTTTTGCTCCTCTGCCTCAGTCAGACCCTTCACAGCTCTTTATAGCAGTAAGAGAGGTTTCTGCAGGGTGCATGCTCCTCTCCAGCAGTGTACAGACACGTTTTCTTAGCCCCAAGCTTAGATGTGCATTCCAACTGATAAAGTTAGCATTTTCAGAGACCTCTGCCTAATATGTTTTACTCAGGAAGTTCAGAGCTTTGTCTGCTTAAAATATCGAGGGATTTATAGTGTTTGACCCACTGGCCAGAGACAAACATTTTGTGCACCAGAGAAAACAGATATAAGTTTCAAATTTGAGTTTAAAACAAGAATAATCAAAGTCCTCTTTGTTATTCAGTGTTTCTGATTATGACAAGGGTTTACCTTTTTGCTGATTTTTATATGGAGGCTTACATTAGAGCAAGTTGATGTGAGGAAAACCTAACCGGGGGAGAGTGGAGAGAAGGAATGCTTTGAAAAACTGGGTAGGTCTGAGTGAAGTTTCCTTGGTATGACACTAGCATAAAGCCGTCTTGTTTTAGCCGGCAGCATGATGGGAAGCTGAAGGAAGCAAAGAGGGGGAAGAGGAAGAGGGGGGATATATGAAGGGAGAAGCATTCTGAGGGAGGATGTTATTAGAGTCACAGGGAGCTGCAGGTGAAAAGGTTTCACCTGTGTTTTCTAACCGATTTACATTGCTTTAAAAGTAAAAAAAAATACTGACTTCTATTTTTTCATGATTTAGTCTGATAAAATAAAAGATAAATGCTTTTTTTGGCTTCAGCTCATAAAGGCGGTTTTGTTTTATCTCTAAGAAGATAGTGTTTTCTTTTTTTTGTGAACAATGGACAGGTTTTAGAAAATCTCAAATTAAAGTTATTTTGCTCCTCCCATTGTTTCACACCTCTGAAGTTTATAGACTCTTGGATAAAATCAACAATCTGATATTTAAATTCTTCCTATAATGTCATCTAGAGGTTTCCTTCAGCTATGTGACCGGTGTGCTTGACCCTAGGGGCAAACAAACCAACTCATCAGATGCAGGCTTTTAAAACCTGCAAACAGTCATTTGGTCTGCCCTAATGGATTGGTCTGTGTTTGAGTGTTTTTCAGCACCTCTATGTGAGGTTCACAGGCTGGAAAAGGAGCCCATTGACTATTGGTAACTGTCCTTAAAATGATAAGAATAGTGATAGGAAATTTAGCCTTGATTTGTATGATGATGATACTGGTGTAATCTGCTCATAGTTATCTATGAAATTGGTGATGAGTTAGGTGTCGGGTTTTGTAGGCAATATCCATTTTTACATGCTGAGAGGGATATGCTTTGCAGACTATAATGTCGGTCCTTCAAACTGGGGATTGTAGATAGGCTTGCAGGGTTTTGCAGATTGCAGTGATGTATTGACCAAAGCAGGTCTGTTCTTGTTGCCTGCACTGTGGAAGGCAATGAGAAGGGGAACATATAGGTAAAGGAACGCAGGAAATGAAACACAACTTGTACAATGCTTTGAAAATAGTGTGTGTCCTCTTTATAGGTCCCCTTTTTTGGCTTCTGCCGTTTTTGATAAAAGGGATACTTAAGAGTAAATTTGAAAAAAAAAAGGAGTTATTCATTAAGAAAAGAAGGGAATCCAGAACATGTCGGGCTTATGTAAAAATGATGACATGGTAGCACCTTGGAGCAAGAAGGTCGTGGTTTGAACCCCAGCATGGGGGATGGATGTTCTCCCCATACATGTGTGAGTACTTCGGTTTTCTCCCACAGTCCAAAATCACGACCTTTAGGTGTTTGATTTCTCTAAATTACCCAAAGGTTTAAATGTCTGCATGCATTGCTGTCCTCTGGTTGCCTTGTCCAAGGTGTACCTTTTGCCCAAATATTACTGGAGATGGGCACCCGCCCGTTGGCTCAGTCTGACAAGCGAGTAGAAAAAAAGCATGAATGGATTTCAAGCTTTAACGTGCTGTTGAAAGTCGTGCAACAGTTTTTTTTATTGGATTTAAGTCTAGACTTTTGCTAGGACTCTCCAAAGTGGAATTCCTGGTTCTGCTTAATTACCACCTTTTAACCCTGTAATGCCAAATGTATCATATTTGATACATACGGTTTCTGAAATGTTTTGCGTCTGACACCTTTTGCATAATTTAATGGTAAAAACTTTACTCAAAATCCTATTGTACACAATCAGATACACCTGATAACAGCCAGTAGAAGACTACATAAAAATAATTTAGACTTATCGCATAGTAATAAATTATTAATATCAAAAATTTATTTTTGTTTTTTCTTTTTACATATTATGTTAAAAGGCCAAATAAGGACTTCAAACCAAAAAAATAAATTTTCTGTTTTGTTTTATTCTTGGATCGGGCTTTAAAGGGTTAATTATTAATTACCAGCAAATCACCCAGGTTCTGTAGTAGCAAAAGGAACAAACCATAGCACTACCACCATCATGTTTAAATGTAAGTATGATGTAAATCTGGATACATGCTTTACTGTATTTTTTAGCAGTTGCTTTGGCCTTGAAGGTGCTTGAACCATGAGCACAGATTTTTTTTTTTTTCTTAGGCAGGTGAGGCCTGCACTACCTGGGGCCATGTTCCTTTGTGACCTTTTGGATGAGTTGTTAATGGGATCCTAGAGTAATTTTAGGAGGCTGGCCTCTACTCGTTCCATGTTTTCTTCATAATGGCTTTCACTATGATTCAGTGATGTATTATAGACATGGCTCTGTTGACCAGCCTGACAGTTATTATTTAGTTAACTTCTTTACATCGAGGTATGATGCTTTGCTATTTCACATATCTTAGCCAAATTCAAGGAACTTTTTTTCCAAGTAATTTTTTGGTTTTACAGATCTGGTAATAATAGGTTCTAAAATATCAAAAAAAAAAAAAAATTCCATCATGGATTTTTGTCCAAAGCTTGCTATCATTAGCCTGTGCGATCTCTTTAGAACCTAAAAATCTATCCTTAAAAACAAATGATTTTGAGCTGAAAAAAGTAAATAATGCAAACCACTAACACCACCAAAGTCTTACTTTTTTTGCTTTACTCTGTTGAAAAGATTCAATGACATCCAGTGAAGTTTTAGTTTTCCTAAGTAGCAGCCTTTGAAAAGAGATGAGACTCCTTTTCCATACCATAAACTAAGCTTTTGTAAAACCGACAAAACTTCTGTCCATGCATTATAACAGTGGAAAGTTAGGTATCTAGTATTGTTCTTTCTTTGTTTGGTTGAAATATCTCATAGGCTCTGATAAATGAGTCAGTCTGTAGAGGTTATTCTGACAGAAGGAATAAGGGCGATGCTTCCCAAGGGTCTTTGTTGGCCTTCACAGGGGCCTCTTTATGTGAAGTTTGTTAGATTGAAGAGCCTTATCAAGGTAAACCTATCCAGGTGTGATACAACTCCAACTCTGCTGGCACATTGTTCATTATGGTGCTTGATATGATCAGACAGGCATTTAGTGTCTAAGGACTCTGTCAAGCCTTGTCTTTGCAGCTCTTCCTAACAGAAATATTTAGAACACTTGATAAGGAAAATATGCCGATTTACCTTATAATATCTGATTATTAATCCTAATGTCACTTAAATGATATGAAGGCTATACCTTATGATTGTTTACCAATAAACAAAGATGGTAATTTTATACTTTGGACTTTTTGCTTGTTGTGTACACCCGTTTACATTTAGTAAGGAGTGAATAATTCAAGCGTTTATAGCATATTTCAAAAAAGTCTATTTGTCTACGCACAGATTAAAACATTGTTCAAGGGAAATGGGATGGGAACTAAACTATAAATAAAAAGTTAAAACTTTTATTCCATTTTTGGTAATTATTTCCCCCAATAATTTGTCATGAATATTAAACTTTCATAAGAAATAAACTGCATTGTTGAGTCATACTGATAGATATGGATCCTTCAGAAGCTGTGCAGTTGTATGACTGATGTTTAATTTTCTCTTTGAACAGCAGAGCCAGTGGATGTCCTAAATGTGTTAGCGTTTCATAATTACCCTGAAGGAGTATCAAAAACAACGGGATTTTGTGCAAACCGAAGAGCGTCGAAGCCGGACTCAGCCTACAGAGTTTCCAAGCAGATCCAGATCAGTGCCCCCACCACACAGTTATTCCCTGGTAAGATAAATCCTTACATTTTTACTTTGCCTTCCCCAGTTTCTGTTTTCCTTTTATGTAACTGAATGGTATAACCTTTATGGTTGTGTCTGCTTAATGATGCACACAGCAGTTATGTACAATCTGAGGAAAAAGCAGTAACCCAGTTCAATTTTTTCATTGAAATTTGACTCAAGATATAAAAGTTCTAACACAAACAGTTATTAAATTTGAATTTATCATAAGCAATGTAGGTTACTCAGCCATACTCTCCTACAAGTTCACTTTTCTGTTCCATCCTTCCTTTTTTCCTCCAGGTGGTGTATTTCCTGAGGATTTCTCCATCCTGACCACAGTGCGCCCCAAGTCTGGCCTCCAGTCCTTCTTGCTGTCTATTTACAACGAACAAGGAGTTCAGCAGCTAGGTGTGGAAGTGGGACGCTCACCTGTTTTCCTATATGAGGATCAAACCGGCAAGCCAGCCCCGGAGGACTACCCCCTGTTCAACTCTCTCAACCTCGCTAATGGAAAGTATGTGAGATCTATTCACTTTTTCTTATTATAACTTAACGATAGTCTTAACGATGGGTCTTGAATTGCAGATTAAAGTCATTTGAAGAAAATGACATACTATTAGGTTAAGATGTTGATGTCTGAAATTTAAAACAATGCAAAAATAACGTTTATATTGAACTGTTTTAACAACTGGCTCAGTATGGACCCAGTTCCAGATGTTTCACAGTTGAGCCAAAACTCTTTTCTTTTTATTATCTACTACTCCTTTACACACAAATTCGTGTTCATGAAGAAATTAACTATCTGTTTCTGTACTACATTCATTTTGCCATGTTAATGCCTGGTTGATGCAGCTAGATTTTAAAAGTAAAAACTGGCCAATGATTTTTTTTTTAAAGCAATTAACTGAATGGAGTAGTTAGACTTGCTTCGATGCTTGATAAAATAAAGCCAGCTAATCTCATGAAATTCCGTTTTTATTAACTTTCCTTATAAAAGGGGACAATTCAAGAACTACTTCCTTTTAGAATTTAGAATAAAAGCTTTCAGCTTGACTTGATTCCATCCATATTAAGGCTTTTAAAGATAATATTTAAGTGTCATATTAAAACATTTACTGGAAAGTATTCTTTATGTTCAGGGAGTAATTAAGATATTGTATTGTTGGGAATAGTATTACTAAAAGATCTTTTTGACGCTATATTTGGTCTCCAAAATTACTTCAAATTCTAACATTTTACTAGTTGAACAAATTCTTGTGAACACTCAGAAACAATCCAAATCTTCTGCTTGTTGCACCTCAGGTGCTCATGACTGGAATATCCGTCTCATCAGGGTCCTGTGAACACAAAACAAGTCAGAGACAGGAAGACTTGGATTACTGAGCCTCAGCAGAGCTGTTATGGGCAAACTGACCTCATCCATGAACTCACTGGCTCTGTTATTTTAGCATGGGGAAAGGAAGGAGGGGTCAGAAGAAAATCTAAATTTCCTTTCTGCCCCTATGGATTACCTTACCCAAACCAGAAACAGTGATTCTAACCCTGGAGAGAAAACCTGATTATCGTCTCGCGGCCGCTTTGTTGCTCAGATCTTTGCAGCTGAAATTAACCCGTTGACAGGTGGAGTTTAAAATGACTTGACACATTAGATCTTTTGGGAAAAATACAGGTTATCTTTACCATATTTGTTGTTTTTTTTGCATTAGTTTATCTGGCATCATTCCTAAAGTTTGAGTATTAGGTTTAGAGTGTTTAGTAAGCACTTCAAAAGAAAAAAGAAAAGAAAGGAAAGAAAAAAAGGACTTCTGTATTTATGGTTTTTCAGCCAGCATTCCAATAGCTTTTTAAATTTTTAATAACTACTATGTATGAAATAAAGTTTTCTGCAGATGATTGTAACAACTCCTATTTTGGAGGAAGTTAAGGACAACCTGCAATAATTGCAGCCTAATTCTTTTTTTTTTAGAATCATATGTTTTAAGTAAGTGGAGACACAGCATTGTTTTCAGATTGAGAGAAAAAAAACACATCATTCTCACAAAGAAATGTTTGCTAAATGTGAATATGCACATTTGCACACAGAACTGTGTGGATAACTTTAACTCAAACCAAATAAGTTTGGTAATGGATGATTTTCAAAAATGACAATTAGTATTTTAGTCTTTCGCATAAAAGGTTACACATCTGATCACTTCTAAAATTGAAAAACTCTTTTTATGAAAAAAACAAACCAAACTTTAAAGGGTTGATCTGTTATTATTGTTTTTACTTTTAGTGCAATTCAGAATCAGAATCAGAATCAGAAATACTTTAATAATCCCAGAGGGAAATTACTTTTATTACAGGCTCCAGTTTTATACAATATATTTACACATCCAACTACGGTATATAATATAATAAAGATAAAAAAATAAGAATAAAAAGAGATAAAATATATGCACATATAGCTCTTCTGTATATATATCTGTACATATATCTATGCATATGTAAAAACTAAATCCAAATAAAGTGAAAATCCAAGTAAAGTGATAAAGTGGTAATTACTTCTAGTGGTTCAACTTTCTCATGTTTCAGTTTCTCAACATTTCCTGTGTGCAAATGTTTATACTTATATCATATGAGCCTCTAGTTTATGATGAATCATGCCCAGCATGGCCCCATTTATACAACGTATTAGCTTTACAGTTTTAATCCAAATAATCTGGATTTATGCTAAAATTAGATGGCAAGACAGTTATCTGTATGGTAGTTAATAACTACTTTCTAACTTTTTACACAACTTCCGTTTATAAATTTTGAACTTTCCCTTTAAGTCAGCATTTGTATTCTTGCTATATAGGTGACAAGTAATCCTTTGTGCAGCAGCAATAAGCTTACAGAGTTTTGCACGTTTATTCTTCCTCTAAGCTCCATCGCCTGCATTGGAATCTGTCACTAGTTCAGCTGTTTTAAACATACTGAATGAATATTCTATGAAATACAGACATTTTTAGCATAAAATTAAAAGTCTATAAGTTTTCATCCTAAAAGTTTGCTGCTGCTTGGGTCTCATCTTCAACCATAGACCAGTGTTTTGACTGCGCTTCCTGTTCTGTCAGAAAAGGCCGTCCTGGATCTTGACACACACTTTCCACAATGTTCACCACGTCTGTCATGCTGAGTAACCCAGAAGGAGGATTAAGTTTGGAGTTTAATGAGTGTAATCCTGTGCTAAACAGGGCCAGAGTTTGGGGGCAAGAATGCGGCCCACTATTGCCTGGTATGCAATAGCTCAATGGCAAATGGTTAAAAAGGCAACAGAGGTGTTGGACTCACGTGTGAGCCTCAGTTAATCATCTGTTCTCATCAATATGCAAGAATAATTCCTACAAAAGCTCTGAAGCATTTCTGAACCACGGTTTTTTTTCAAAATGTGTTTTAAATGTAAAATCCAGTTATTCATTCACTATTATTTTATGGAAGCTCCTGCTGGGAAGCTGGAGCCTACCAGTGAGAGATGGAGAGGTGGGGTACTCCCTGGAAGGACTGCCAGTCTATCACAAGGCAAAAGGCATGTTTTTAGACTAGGAGAAAAGCAAACCTGTTTGAAAGTTTCTTTAAATGAATACTTCGTCAAAGATTTAAGAAAGCAGCTAATTACTACAGCACCATTCAGCTTGGAAAGTCAGGAAACTTCCACTTTCAAAGTGGAAATAAATGTGTTCCTGTATGCATTAAATAAATGATTGAATAATTTCCCCATTGACCTAAATTCTGGGATAGTTTTGAGGAAATATGTTCTTCAGCTCAGTACACAATGTGTGTAAACTTACCAGTAGTAAAACATAAAATGGTCTGTGCTTATATGGAGCCTTTTCAAGTCAGGGGACTTCAAAGCGCTGTACGCCACATTCTGTCAATTCAATTCGGTTTATTTATATAGGGCCAATTCACAACACATGTCATCTCAAGCCACTTTACAGAGACAATTCAACCAGATCCTACAGTCAGATTGGTTCAATGTTTTCATTCTAAGGAAAACCAGTTGATTGCATTGACTCATTGACTTGAATGCAATTACTCACACCAAGCATGTCACTGTTTATCAGTTAAAATGTCACTGATGGTGGCAAGCTTGACTGTAGCCATGGCTGCCCTGGGGCACGCTGACAGAGACAGGGCTACCGTACACAAGCATCACCGGGCCCTCAGAACACGATCAACAGGCAAAGTGGATGAAGTGTCTTTTTCAAAAACACAGCTGAGATGAACACCAGAAACTCTCCAGTTGCAGTGCATCCTATGCCACTGTTGAGTTTGATAAAATGGTTGAAATGTGTAGGAATCTGGTAGTTTAGGTTTAAAAGGCAAGCAACAAGGGAGTGTGTTATAGTCAGAGGACTATAAGGTTGCGCCCAAATTGACATGAAAAGTTATATAGACAGGATCTTTTTTTCTTACTAAATTCTAAGAAAAAGGTTAGATAAATACCATACGGTAGTGCTAATGAGAATCAGGAAAGTAGTTTTACAGTGACAAGTGTGACAGGATCAAAGAACTTTATATTTGATTTGGTTTACAAAATGCTTATATTGCAATGGGTCTTTTGTTTCTGCAATTATTTGTAAAAATGTTAAATATTGAAATGTGCAACATCCTTGTGGTGGAATCTCCTTTTGTGTAAAACAGTTAAGCACTTAATGCAGATAAGTCCTTCAGGATATTACCTATACATATTTCCATTAAAGGAGTAGTCTAAAACAGGGGTCTTCAATTAGGGTGTCCAATTCCGATATTGATATTGGATATTGGTCTGATGTTAGTCAAAGTACTTATATCCATTTCTATCAGCATACAAATATCGGAAATTTTAGATACAGACCAGTATAATTAGATTTACATTTTTGGCTAATATCAGTAAGTTACCAATGTAATATTAAAAAAGTATTTTACTCATTGGTTACTATTATATGGGTCAGTTGTTCTTCTACCTTTTGTTCACCTTTGCCATTCAATTCATGAGCAAGAGACAGAGAGAAGTCTAAAACAGGCAGCACAGTCAGTCTTCAAGACCTAGGCTGAAGATCCCTGCTCTAAAACACTAGTCCTGAAAAATACAGCACACAAATGATAAGAACTTTATGTAAAATCAAGTTACCCACCTGTGGTCATAATTTAAGTAGTACCAAAATGTTTTCTTTCAGGAACTGAATGAAAACGGAATGATAATGATATTACTAGTTTACTACTTATGTTTTGTCAAATCAAAAAAGACAAAAAAAAAAAAACAGCAACTGTCCACCTTTCCTGTTGTCTTACAAATGGGGTTTTCCTGGAGTTTTACATGTTTCTTTTTTAAGGGAAATTAACATGAGGTGCTTTTTATGGACAAAAACCATACATTGGAAAAATGTTGGGAAAAGTGTCTTACTCTGGCAGCTAAGGTCAGAGGTTTTGTGGTTAAGCTCTTAACCCTTAACATCTGCTCTAGCAACCCTGATCTCTTGCTTTATGCATGGAGTCCCTCAGAGGGTCGTATGAGTTCATGTAGATGTTATCTGGGGTTGACTGTCTTAAAGCTGTTACGCAAAGGAGCAATAAGTAAAATTGACACCTAGCATTTCAAATCAGATAAAAAAATTTAAAAAACAATTCAATTCAGTTTATTTATATAGTGCCAATTCACAAAACCTCATCTCACGGTTCTTAACAGTTCACCAGATCATACAGTCAAATTGATTCAAAGTTTTCTTTCTAAGGAAAACCAGTTGATTGCATCGACTCATTGATTCAAAGGCAATCCATCACACTAAGCATGCTTGTAGCGACAGTGGAGAGGAAAAACTCAATTTTAACAGTAAGAAACCTCCCAGCAGAACCAGGCTCAGTGTGAACAGCCATCTGCTGAGGCCAATTGGGGTTCAAAGAGACAGAAGCAGACATAGAAAAAGAGGCAGAGATACTAAAAGCAACTGTTAAGGCGGCCCAATCCAGGAAACACACAGCCATGCAGACAAGCTCCGAGCCAGCTCCAATGTCAGAGGATGACGAGAGCAAATTCAGCCAGTCACAGTCAGAGAAACAGGACTACTCTGAAAAACAGGCCAATCTCCAACATCTATAAAGAAAGGTCTTGATGGCAATAGCACAGCTGATATTTGTCTCCAGGATGGTGTCACAGCCAAACAGAAAAAGACGAGGCAAAGCTACTATGAGAAAAAGCAGAGAAAGCTTAAGGTTATAGATATTTAATTAACAGATTCTGCAGAGTGGGAAAATAGAGATAGAATGAAGCAGAATGATGAAATAGGGGTCCATATGTCCTCCAGAAGTCTAAGCCTATAGCAGCATAACTATAGAGATAGCTTAGGATAACCTGAGCACCTCTAACTATAAGCTAGAACACATACTCTATAAACACAGGGCAAGTATGCAGAGGTTTCTTAAGAATAGTTGGGACTATTTCTGGTCTTTTGTTGGTTAAGAGGTTGTCGGGTTTCTGCTCTTTTTCGAACAAGAAATATCAAATGCTTAGCTCTGTTTTGGCAACCCTGGAAACTGTTATATGACTGGTCCAGGAGCTAAGAAGCAGTAGTTCCAAGCTGTAACCCTGAGTTTGTAAGGAGAATAACTAGGATAAGACATTGTTTGTTGGGAATATTACTTCCATCCCAGGTGACATATGAGAAAGATTTTGGTTCATTTTATAGCAGATTTGTTTTACTTTTTGCTTATTTAATGCTAAACTACTCTGTACACCAACATAAATGAACCGTCTTCTTTCAGATATTTCCCAGGCATTCCCAGGCAGAATTGAAGACTTTTATTCTATTTAGCCTGTAAGATTGAAATAGTAATTTACTTGGCTTTTACTGCATTTTAATTGCTTTAATTCACAGCATTTTGATTCACGGTGATCTGTACTGTAAATGTATTATTATTATTTCATGATTTGTATATTATGCTGTAACTACGCTGTGTTTTATGGAACCAGACTTTGATTTGAACTAATATTTGCCTGTCTTTGATTGTAACCAGGTGGCACCGTGTGGCCATCAGTGTTGAGAAGAATACTGTCACCATCATTGTAGACTGTAAGAAGAAGATCACTAAGCCTCTGCTAAGGAGTGACCGAGCCTCCATCAGCACCGATGGCATCACTGTGTTTGGCACCAGGATTCTGGAAGAGGAGGTTTTCGAGGTAAGGATTTCAGAACCAGGCTGTATGTGTGGTTCAATTCTGTTGTTTCGACATTTGGCAAATCTGCTGTACGATTGATTCCCTAAATTTTTTCCTTTTGTTTATCACTACTCTATTACAACTATCTACCTATACAGCTAGTCCTGATTTTGTGAAAAAAAAAAAAAAAAGATATATATATATATATATATATATAATAGAGTAGCAGTAAGATGAGGCAGAGTCAATGGCCCCATTTGTTACTTTTAATAGTTTAAAATCGGAAATTTGTCCTACTGGTGAAATCTCAAATGAACACCATTTAGTAGCTGTTGGAGTTTTTTTTCTGTTAAATAACAGCTAATAATTTTTTGTTGCTTTTTTCTATATGTTAATGTTGGTATGTATACTGTTTAAATTTTCTCACAGCACTGATCAAAATGTTAGTTTAACTTATTTTTCATTTCATCTAAAATAGTGCTCAACTTGAAGGATATTCTATAATTTTTTAGGAAATCACAGTTTTTAATCTGTTTAAACATAACTGTTGGTGAAAAGACCACCTTAAATCAGGCCCTGCTTAAAAATTGCAGTAATTCTGCGTACAAACCGAGGGTCTTTTCTTAATTCGCAAGAATGCGAGTTCAGACTCGTGTCCTCTCCAAGTATCTTCTTGACAAGAACACAGGAGGGAATGGGAACTAGCAGCATAAATATGGGTCAACTGGAACAGAAGCGTACTCGTGACATCACCACACACACGGCTCGTCTGGAGCTGCATTTAACCTCCTGTTATTAATAGTCTCTAGATAATAATAAATTCTTACTTTCATCACGTAGTTGGGGAATAATAATGAAAACATTAAGATAACCGAAAATCAAATTAACATTTGATTTCTTAATTAACATCAACGCCATCAGAGCCAGCGTTTCTTCACACACAACTTTGCCGAGAGAGGGCTGCTCCAGACGTTAGCCCAGGCTGCGACTAGCCTCTGAAGTCCGCTGGTTGGCACGGTCCTCTCGACATCTGAACTTTTTTTAAAATGATGCACTAAATTAGTAAATGGGCTATATAGTGACGCTTAAAAGTATAATGTTCATAAAATGTTCATGAAAATTTACTTTTATGTAGCAACAGCAACAGAAAAGAGAACTTTTAACTTAATACTCTGATCTGAGCGCTCCACTGGAAGCTGCTGCTGCTCTGGTGCATGCTGGGACAGCTGTCAATCTCAAGAATGGACAAGTCTGCTCTGATGCATACACAGTAAAGAGGGAGGGAGATCAACATCATGGGACTTTGTCCGTTTCGGTCTTGTGTTCTTCTTAATTGGAACAGTACTAGGGCTGAGGCTGGTGACGTTTCACGAGCACATGAGAACGCACAATTACAGATATTGAGACATGTCCTTGGACTCAGTTATCTACAGGGAGTACAGGGTCATTCAAACAGTTGGACATTAGGACAACCTTTGCTTTGTTTGTAAAACAAGGATGGGATCTTCGATTTCACAAAACAAAACTCCTAAACATCTTGTCTTGCTCTGACATGACCAGTATTTCCTGTTGTGAGCTGAATGCAATCTTACAACCTTGTTTTACTGTTGGAAAAAATATACTTTTATGGCAAATCGATGGTCTAAAGGTTTTTTTTTTATAAACTTTATATTGCCAAAACCTGACCCCGATTTAGTGTACCAAGAATGTTGGCTCACAAAGAACCAAGAACATATCGAGGCATAACCTGATCTTTCATAAGGACCTTGTAATAGAAAGTTATTCCTTAAATTAAAAATGAATGGCTATAAATGTTCATATACAATCATAACAAAATGTCACAGCTTTGAATTTATCCTTCACTGAAATGCCTTGTAAATCACTGGACTTTAGTTTTGGGTATGTTTCACCCAGATGTATAAAACTAAAATATTTCCATCTGCCATTAAGACACATACATTGATAGAATATCACTGTTGTTCTCACTGTCTCGACTTCAACATTTTTAAGGTTGTGTTTCTATGAAGTATTCTCTTTTCCTCTGTACACACACTGAGCCACGCTGAGGTTGTTTGGACTACAACATACAGTAGATATATTACACGATATTTTGAATAACTTGAGATTAGAGCATCAGCTACATCACCAGACAATTAGATCTTGCCTTCACAAAAAATATACCTTGATTTTTCTTGTCATAACAGTATAAAGAGCAAAGGATGTAATACCTCCCAAATCCAGTCTGTAGAGACAGAATGTTAACAAAAGGGTTAAAATTAGGACTTGGTATTGGTTGACCTTTTATGTTTGTATTGCCGAAATGTTTATTATTCTTTTTAGCTTAAAGATGGGAGCTAATAAACCAAATATCAAAGTGTGTTTGGTAAAAGGAAGGTCAGTGGGAGGGTTGGAGCCTCTCTTTTTGACTATAAAAAGTCTCTCTTGCTGTTTTCTGTTTCTGCTGTTTTTAGTGATCCACATGAATTATAATAATATTATCTTTATGAAAAGCAAAGTGTTTTTTTTTTATAGAATCCAAGCTATATTTTTCATAATCCTCTATTCATGCCATACCTGCACCAGGTTGGAAGTGACCACCAAAAGGGATCTTGCTGGCATGAATGGAGGTCTTTCATTCGGCCATCAGGCCTCCCTTATTTCCTCAAACACTCCTCTCTCTGCAAGCTCAGCTCCCTCCTCCCTCTGTACCCTCCCCACCTTGAGGCCTTCCCTGTGTGCCTAATGTATGAGACTGTCTATTCATGCCCAGCGGACACTGCCTATCTGAATCGGGCTCACATATATGGACATACCTGAGCCTATTCGCTGCCTTTCTGGGTTGAAATCAGTCATATGAGCTGAAGGAGCACATTGTCCTGAAGTGGTCAGCTCTGTGAAGCCTGAGCCTCCATCGTTGCCTGGAGACACATCCTAAATAAATGCATGCAGATTTGTGTTGGGTGCTGTCTGCTTGTTGGCAATATGTGAGCATTTTAGATCACTTTCAGCCTATTTAACAAGTAGTTTTGACCTTATTTAGTATGGTATAAAAGCCATGATATAGCAAAAGATGTAGGATTTATATTTAGTTCTGATGTCTTCATTTGTTGTGAAGTCAGATGCTTTTGAAAAAAAATCACAATAAGCATGTTAATGTAGGTGTTCTAGTTTATTTGTATACCACAATTCAGTACAAGGACAATTCAAAGAGCCTTATGTATATATATAAAGGTAAATAGATAAAAACATGATAAAAGCAGGTACTAAAACAAATAAAACAGTTTAACCAAAACCTTGAACTAATAAGGTTGTGGTCTTAAACTAACCCAGTATTTTTATGGCAGCATCATGCTGCCAGGGAAGGTGGTCAGCGTTTATGAAAAGATGCACAGATCTAAATATAGGGCACTCCTGAAACTTGCTACCGGCTGTAAATATCTTAAAACAGGGCTGAATATTCACCATCCAGTAGCACAAAACAAAAAAAACAGATGTAGATCTATAAGGGTAGAGTTAGGACAAACATATTCATCTGTTCTATTAACCCAATCAACTTTGATTTTGAATCTATGAGGTCACAAATGTTGCTGTTCCCAGGTTCTCTCAATCCAGGCGATCTGAGGTTGACCTATTTTGCAAATATAGACAGACTAAAGTTTTAGTCTCTAGTTGGTAATAACAGTTGGAGAGGATTTGCTAATGCAGTGAAAGAAAAACAGAATTGGCACAAAATGTTCACTAAAGGGTTTCTGATCAGAAATTCACACCTCTTGTTTCAGATTTTAGTTTTTAAATCTTCACAATCATGTGCTACATTATGTTGCTTTTTCACATTGTAAAAGTTAATGTAAAATGAACTAAAATACATTGAACTCTGTGACCTCATCAAGATGTTAAAGAAAACTGGAGGTATAATAATGTCACATTGACACTGCAGCGGCCCGTTTGGCTTTTCTTGGTTTGTTACATTATAAAACCTTTTGTGCTCTCTTTTAATGTTGATTTGAATGCCGTGTGGGCTTGTCTGATAATAGATGACTGTGGTTAGACCGGAAATATGTTGCTTTTGGCAAAGGTATTGTTAAAGGACCCATGCAGATTACTGTGGGAAGCCCTGCTCTATGGTTACAACAAACAGCAGGGCTTTAGTGGAGATTTACGGATGGGTTGAATACAGAAAATGTTAGTTTATGCGGCTGCAACCTTTTACCTTTTTTTTTATTGCGTCCTTGTATACCTTAGTAAGCTGGTGTTTGGATTAGATCAGTGGGCGTATATATAAAATAGATGCCGTAACTAATGAAGTATTTTGTTGCAGTTTGTAGTTTTTTGAGTGAGCCTGTGTTTCAGTTAACCAAATATAAAATTCTCTAAAAGAGTGAGTGTCATGACCTCGGATTAAGTAAAACCTTAAAATTTTTCTTTTTATTATTATTGAATAGCAAATGTCTTTACTGTAAACTTTAACTGATGTGTTTTTTTTTTGACTTTATGTCCAGTTAAATATCTGAGCTTTAACTATCAACGATGTAGCATAAAAAACAGCAGAGACACAAAGAGATTCCAGTTGTTATTATTGTAGAGTCTCCCTTGTTTTTTACTTTTAAGGTTTTTTCTTTTTTTTTTGGTATTTTTCTTTAATACTAGGACTTTCTTCCTGAGGCATATTTTTGAGTTCTAGCTCAGCTCCAAGATACCAGAGGTTTCTTTTTAAACCCCAAAATAAAAAGATCGACTTGCGGTCTCAGTGTAATGAACCCCAGGTCTCCTCCTTCACAAAACATTTTTCACCATGCCAGATGCTTGGTATTAATCTCCTGTCCGTTCTCTGAGTACCGCTTGGTGTTCTTTTCATGAATTTTCTTTTATTTTTTTGCTTAAAACTTGTGAGCTGATTCTTATTAGTTATGTGTTCTACTTAGTTGTGTCCATCTTTGCTTGTGTGCTCTAATTCTTTTCTCTTTCCTTTCCAAATAAATTCAGTGTATAAGTCTTTGTAATTACTGCTCCATTTCTATTGTAGACTAGAGTTTTCTGTTGAATCAGAGAATATTTATAAATCTAATCATCTGATTACTGATTTGGACTGATCCCTGAATTCACAGACTGAGTGCAGACATGTAGCTCTTAGCTGTGTGCTAATTTGATCAGAATTCGAGCTCTCACTGTTGTTCTTAGTGGGACACATGAAATAATGTATGTCAGACTGACTCAGAGGAAGGCTTGATCTTTGCTTTTTCACTTGAGTTTCCCCAAAAATCCCAAAGTCACAAGCCGGCACATTTTTTACACTAGGCCTCACAGCTCTAAAACAAGTGTGTTAACTTTCTGTTTTCCCTTTTTTTATGGAGAGTTTCTTGGTTTAATTGACTGCCTGGTCAAATTATTTATAACTTTTTCAGATGACAACATATTTTCAAATTGAAAGAAAACAGTTCATTTTGACCAGCTTACCCCTCCCTGCAGAGGAAAAGCATCCCCAGAGCATAATGCTGCCACCTCCATGGCTCACCATAGAGATGGCTCATTCAAGGCACATAAATCCATATTTTGATGTAAGCTGAAAGTTTCAGCATCAATCTGATCAGAGTTTTTTTTTTTTTTTTTTATCAGATGCTTCTTGCAAACCGCAAACCAATCCTACATTGCTTTCTTTGCATACAGACTTTGTTCTTGCAGCTCTTTAATAAAGGCCCTATATGTTACAGTAAACATGTCATAGTCAGATGTTTCTCATGCTTGAGCAGTACATTTATCTGGAGCAATATTTGCTTCTAAGCTCCTTCCAAACCATGGAAATTACAATTAATAGCATGTATTGGTGTGAAGTTGTACACTGCAAAAAACTGAAATCTAAATAAGTCATTTTTTCTTTAAAAAATTGCATTTTTTCTTGAACTGAGGAGGTAAGAGAAACATTTTGCCAATGGAATAAGAAAATTTACATTTAAAATAAGAAAAAAAATGGTCTGTTGTTTCAAGTGCATATTATCTAATTATGTAATTTTAAGGGAAAAAATAGTCATTCCTTTGACAGATCCTGTTATTTACCTACTCATATCAAGGGTAAATACACTTTGTTTAAGGCATTTTCCTCTAGTTCCTTTTTGCAGTGCATAGTCCTGTTTCTCGTACTGGATTGTGGATAAGCTGGTGCTCAGTGAGCTTTACAAATAAAAGCAGTGTATTCTCATTACCAGTTCGTATGAAATCGTCCGAAAAGTTATGCACAGTAATTTCGTACGTTTTTGACGTTTTTTTTTCGTCGTATTTTTACGTCTTGCCTCGAGACAAGATATCTTTGCGCATGCGCATCTTACGCACCATTCAATAACATAGAATTTAACATACAATTAACCCTAACCCTAAGATACAAAACAGCAAGCAACGTAGTTAGAGACATGAAGAAGTAATTATTGCACTGTTTTTCCCAGTTTTACGTCCGTCCGCGAATCTGCTTTTTTCGTCTGTCTGGCTGGGCATGCGCACTGATCTGTTTTTTTCGAAGGAAAACGTCAAAAATGTACGAAATACTGTGCATAACTTTTCATACGATTTCATACGAACTGATAATGAGAATATGTTGATAAAAGAGCTCTTTATTAGATGATCAGTGGTATAGTGGTAAGAAGCAATAGAAAATCCATCAGGTTTCTGTCTGTGATTTCATGTTTCTAAACATGAAATTATGTGCTCACACTGAGACCTGAGGGCAATTTCGAGACATCATTTGAAAAGTCATGTTTATGGACTGTGTGGAAGGAACCCACAAACACATTTGGAGATAATGCAAACCTCAGACACAAAAAGACCCAAGCCCAGGTTTTTAAACCCACGACCATCTGGCTGCAAGGCATCATTGCTACAAACTGCGCTGCTGTTTAACCCACAAATGTAAATCATACATTATTTCACTGCGCTGCAACCAGTAGTTCACCATCATTACAGAATAGCTTAAGAAAAGAGAATTCAGGTTGAGGTTTTAACGGGACAATATATTGAAAAGTTAAATTTGCAAGGCAAGGTATATAGTTATAATTGTGCAGACAGTGATTCAAGTTTCCCTTAGTGAAGTATCATGAACCTTGATGCTGACATTTCTAATATAGGAACTTGAACATTTTTGTAAAATCATGCTAGAACAAAGTGTACATTGGGAAACATTCTGGGTGGATCTGTTGGGATGTGAAAGACAAGCTGTTCATGGATGAGTTCACAGAGAAGATTTTGAGGGATACTGCTTATTTTCTCATGGAACATGCCTTAGCACATAGTTGTTACACTGAAGCACATATCAGAGAAGTGCAGGCCATTTGCATATACATCAATCCTATTTCCTTGCTCTGGCATGTTGCAGCTTGCTTTATTTCTTTTGGGGGGTTTTATAGAGTATCTCTTCTCTGCTGTTGAGCATGTAATGTCTCTGCTATCACAAAGTGAGCAAGGATTTCATCTTTTTACAATGGCATGCTGTATGTGCGCTCACATGCCAACAGCTCCAACCAAATACACAGTCAGAACTCCTCCTTCTATGATCCCTCATCAGCTGTCTGCAGAAAACACAAAGGCTCAAATACCAGCCTGCAGGATCTCAGTTCAGCCAATTAGACACTCCAAAGAACGTGTGCATTCTTTCACCTCTGGCCTTACTGTCTTACATGGAGCTGAGTTCTTTGGCTAGACTTTTCTGGAAGGGTGTAAAGCATGACTGTGTATTGCTTAAGCTAAAAAAAATTTAGATTTATTTTTCTTCGCCTCTGTGGGTGCATTTTTTAAAGGGTTCTTGTTTGCATTTGCTAAACAGTTTTCTTTGCACAGTCATATAAAGCTGCCATAATAAATTCTTTGGCAGCTTTTAATACATCCATTAAAAAATATACTTTTAAGTAGAAAGTGAAATAAATAATTAAATAGCACCTTGCTATCTAAGAAACGTTGTTACATAAAAGGTTTTTTTTGGAAGGGATGGCTGCAGCTCACTGGCAGCAGAGATAGGGACCAGCTCAGCCGTCCGTGGGTCCAAACCACTCAAAATGCAGAAGGGCAGCCAGGATACGGGAGGTCTGGCCAGGATGGGAATTGGGTGCTATCCTGGTTAATTAATGGGCGGAAATTTCAAGAAAAACTCCTCATCAGTTGTATCAGAACGGGAAGTACCAGCAAGGTATGCTGGGCGTTATGTCCAGCTGGAATGCTGCGTCTATCCTTGCATCAGACCAAGGTCCAGGGGGCAAAGCATGGAAAATAGTTTTTTGGTGATTTTAAAGATGTCCCAGCTTGAAGATGTGACATCAGAGAGACAGATTGAGTCAAAACAAATCTGCAATTTCATGCTGTGATATGGGAGTTGTAGTACTGAACTGGAAAGTTGTACTTCTGATCCATAACATTTTTTATATGCTACTCTTTCATGCTCTTTAAAATCAGACATGCCATGACCAGCCTTATGTTTGATAATCCTCTAGTATCATCTGTGTTTAACATGCCAAGTTAGTTTTCTTTGACACTGATAATCATTCCAACAACTAAATGTTATAACGTTGCTTCTAATTATTTAAACATTTATATCAATAAAGAAGATTACGCACGTCTAGCTGATTCCTTTGTTTCTGCTTTTTGCAGGGCGACATCCAGCAGCTTCTGATTGTTCCTGATCCCAAAGCAGCGTACGACTACTGTGAACATTACAGCCCAGACTGTGAAACTCCGCACAAGGATTCACTTCAGGCACAGGAACCAGAGGAAGAGGTCAGCCAATCAGGCAGCGTTAGAAGACCAATTAGAGTGCTTTAATTAACTTGAATCTTTTTGTTAATGGAAAATTCAACCTCAGAGAGTCACTTTAACCTGAGGTTCATTCTAGGCTCCTAGATTCAAATAAACATAATCTCAATCTTGTAGGACATATGCAACTTATTATTAAGTTCACTCACATAGATTGTAATGGCATTTAAATAGAATTGAGCAAAGATGACTGGGTTTTCAGTTCATATTCTACACATTAATCAGGAATGCAGATAATATGCTAGTATTTACCAGCTGCATTTTGCTGATTTTAAACTGCCAAAAAATTTATAACACAATTGATGTGTTATGGTAAGACATGGACCCATGCAAGAGTCCTAATATTAAGTTAAAAATGCAACTTTCTTATGTCGTTAAAATCAAAATGTTGCATAATAGGATCAAATATATTTCTTTATTCCTTTTATTATTTAGAATAGCAACAATAATTTCAACCTCGGCTACAATAACCCTGTTAATAATGCTAAAAGGTAACATTTTTTTTATTGTTTTGTGATAGTTATATTATGTTGAATTAATAGAGTTAAATTATAAAATAACCATATAGAAAATGTATTTGATTTGTTACTATACATACTTATTGCTCCTTATAGAGAAACACTAAAGTAAAAATTATTATCTTAACATGGCTGATGGGGGGTGTTCTATCAGTTTTTACAGCACTGATGTTTGTGTTTAGAAATTTTTCCAGCCAACATGTTGCTTCTTCTTAACACATGAAAAACTGTAGCCATCTTTCAGTCAGCTTTCTAAAAAATTGCAGCAACAGGTGTGGGAGGGACAGTTTTGTGTAATTCCATGTTGTATAATTCTGAGAACTCCTGTCCCTCCTCTCACTTTCATTTGCATATTATTAAAAAGATGTTAAACCACAGCAATGGAAACATTTCGAAAGGAAAACCTCTTAAAATGTTGGCACTCATTGTTATCGGTAACCGGTCCATGCCCAGTCATGACTCACTTGAGAGAAAAACACTGTAAAATAGTTTCTTCTGAAGTTCACCTCTTTTTTGCAGCTGGTTTTAGGGAAAAAAAAAAAGCTCCATGAAGAGATGAGCGAATGCAGCTTGTAATTTTTTTTCTTTGAGGCTGTTTTTATAGGCCTTTTAAACGCTCCATCTGCTCGCATTTTGGAGGTTCAGACCTACATACAGGGTTTCAGCTATTATCTTCGCTCCAGCTTATTTAATCCAGTTACCTGGAAATTTGTTAATTTCTTCTCTGTATATCTGAACTGTGAAATGTTGTAAAAACATATTAATTATAATTTAAAATGCACTGTTATCTTAACTGTTATCACTTTGTATAAAAAGTGATTTTCCCCTTTTTTCTAAACATGTAACCTGTTGAAGATGATATAGATTTTTATTATATTGTCTTCCTACTTAGATCACATTCTTCATTCTTAATGCTTTTTCTAAAAACTAACACTATTTTTTTTTCCTGTCTTTTCTGCTGTTTTCAACCACTCTAGTACATTACTGATGATTTAGATTACAATCAGTTGTATGATTACTCTGAAGAACCAACAGAAACCATCCCAACTGATGATGAATACCTGGGATCAAAGGTAAATGGAGAAACTGGGAAAAGAAAGCCGTGTCTGTTTGTTGTCTTTCCCATTCCTCTGTTTGTCTCAGAGTTGTGATTACATGCACACTCAGTGTTTCAAAGATCACACCATGCTTTTAAAATAAGATCAAGTATCCAAAAAGTAGTCAAAGTAAGCACTTTATAATTTTACAGAAATAAATCCTAACCATGTCTGGATTGGAGGCAGGAATCTGAGTGTACATGTCATCACATACTGTTTGTCCACTCTTCTTCTGTCTAATTTATGTGTCTGCAGCCATCTTTGTCAATTCTGCCAGCTTCAAATGTGTTTTTGCATATCAGCAGGTCTTTACAAATAATGTATGCAGGAAATAATACCTGCACAATTGTACCTGGTTTGGCAAAATGCAGCTTGTGTGACATCCAAATAAATCGAACAGCTAGATTACTTGTAAGGTGCTGCTGAATGTTACTGTGTTACATGTTTGGAAGTGTTTATGTGCAACCTAATCTTTATTCACAGTAGATCTAAAAGCCTCCCTTTAAACCCCCCCCCCCTTAATATACTTTTTTAAAAGTAAAAAAATGAGACATGGTTTCATATTTTTTCCAACCTTTAATGTGACATGTGTACAGTGCAATACATGATTCATTTCTAATCTGTGTTATATTATATAGAAGTTATATTACACATTTTATTGACTTTTTGATTCCGCTGATCTTGTGAAGCCATCTAGCTGTGTATTCTGGATAGGACTTTTAATTACTTAAATTTCTTCTGGTATAGTTATTATTTTATTGATTTGCTTGAATATCAAATTTTTTTTTTGCCTCCTTTAAGTTTGAAGTCAAAAGTGACTGGTGTTTTGTATCAGTTATAGTTTTATCAATCCTAAAAGAAAAAAAAAGACACAAAAAAAAGAGTTACCGGTACACCGGAAAGTAAAGAAACTATCAACCTCCTCCTTTTACCACCATATTGTAATGTCATCGAGTGTTTTCTTTTTTTTTTTTTTTTTATGTTTTCCTTTTGTCACAAATACAGTTTTGGAACTGCAGTCAAAAAGTTCACATTTGGTTTCAGCAGAATATTACACATTGATTAAGATTTTAGCAATGTTTGGTTATTTTCTTTCAAAATGTTGGTAATATCTGAGCCTGGTTAATTAGATGCAAGATGACATATTCAGAGAATATAGGGGATTGTTTTTACAGACAGCCCCCCTAGGTACCCTTTTTTATGACTGATGCCTTTGCATGATGAAACCAATCCTTTGTACCCATTTTTCAAGCCATTGATTAGTTAAAGGAGGCCAGCAAGATAAATAATGGTCAGGTAAACCTTAAAAAGTTATTTCACTTTTAATTTATACATACCAGGTGTACTAATATTGACTGTTGAAGTTTCATCAAAATGTGGAAAAATATGTTTTCTATGCCAACTTAACTCAACAGATAAGCAAAACTGCTGCAGTTGCAAAAACCTCAGCAGTAAATCAGTAATACTACTTACCATGTAATGAAAATGGGTTACACACCGCTGTCATTGTTTGAAACTATCAATATCAATTAGCACAGATATGCTGATGCAGCAGAACAATCTGAATTTCACAACTTTAACCCTGGTATTTGCCTTATTCTTTATACAAGCTGATCATACAAAATTATATTAAGATGTGTTTCATACTAGTTCAATATAGCAGCACACATTGCATGCAGCAGCAGCTTTATTTAATTTTTAACATTTGCTCTCTTTTTTTGAGTTGGAACTATACATGATGTCACATTAAAGTCTAAAAATGTTTCACAGGACAACAACGTGGTATTTTAAGGGGGGTGTGCAACGTTTTAATCATGATTGTATTTGCTTTAAACAACTCATTTCTTCCATTTGAATGTCCCTCCCCTGTATTTCTAATCAGATTTAATGAGCAGTTTATGTTTCAGACTGTTTATGGGCAGGAGGTGCAGCATAGATGACTCTGTACACCAGCTGAAAGGAATGTTGTTAAATGATTGTCTTGGTTTTCTTTGTCGCCGTCAGCTTTTACAGAGAAACAAACGTAGTGTCCCCATGAAAAAGAAGACAACCAGAAAGTCTCCCAGTAAAACTAAGTACCAGCCTTCAAAGTACTCGGCTGTGAAAAAAAGTTCAGTTAAAATGTCTGTACCTAAGAAGAGGATATTTGACTACCAGGCCACAGCTCCTGCACGACCCAGAGGCAGTTCTAGGGTAATCACAGAAAAAGACCAAAATCCAATCAAGATTTACCCTGAATAACGAAGGGAGAATCTATGATGTTGGATAAACAGTTCCCTAACCTTTTCTCTGTAGCTGTAGCTTAGTGCTTAGTGAACTCCAGAGGACCCTGCCTCGGATAACCTACTTTATAAGCCTTGTTTTAACCCAGATCCTTCTTTCCTTTTCTTCCAACATGACTCAGCTAAACAATGTAGATGGAGATTACTATACATACACTGACTTCGGAAATCTAGATGATACTCAAACTCAGTCCCCTGTTGCCACGAGCGGACCAAGCCAGGTAATTTTCTCTTTCTTCTCAATCATCATCTACAAGTTATAGCCAGTGTGTGGTTCTGGGAAATGTGAGCGTGGAAGATTTTACCCTGAGGGAGTATCTGGTACGACATGATAGAAACACAACCGTTCCAATGGATTTCAGTGTCTTTGGAGTCACTGAAGCTCTGGTAAGGGACTGGACATGTGATGGACGTGGGATATGTTGCATGAGGTTGATAGTGACAGTCTATATGTGCCGCTGCATAAACAAAGCACAGACGAAAATTGCACCAAAATGTGTGAAAGGCTTTAAAGTAAATGTGTCTTATTGCTGTAGAATAATTGCAAACCTTAATCTGAATACAATTAATAAGAGGAAAAATCAAGTACCCATAGAACAATGGTTTGTACCCATGCTATTAATAGTGGCCAGTCTTCAGCTAAATTCTGTACTCCTGGATACTCACTTACTCTCACTCCTCTTTAGCTTACCTTGAATGTTTTCTAAATGATTCT